ATGTCTCTCCCTTATCCTCTCCTCCCTGTGTGCCTTAGGATGGATAGAAGATGGGCCTGGATCCTGCTCTGACTGCTCAGCCGGCCTCTGCCCTTCCCCAGCCTCCTCCACCACCTCTGGAGCCACACTCCCACTCCCTGTTGGCTGTACCTCCTCTTCCTCGGAGTCAGTCTCCACCAGGGGCAGGACAGTCCTTCTCCAGCAGCCTAGTGCCATTCTGGGATTTGTGGCATTTCCAGGAAACTGTCAGATAATCAACCTTATAATATCCGAGGGCTTGGAATGAGCGGCTTCCCTTGAATGCGATTGCTCTTTGCCCTCACGAATGGCTTCTTGCTCACCTTTGGAATGTGCATAGATGTTCTGGATCTGTCGCTTGTTCAGCCTCTCCTGGATTCCTCCCTCGCTCCCTCTGACAAAACTGTCCCATCGGCCCCACGGCTGAGCTGTTTAAGGCTTTGTCAGTCGGTCTTCAAGATGTTTGTAATTCCCAAGATACAAACCAACCAACACTGACGTTTATTTGTACAAGTAACGCGCATCCCATCCGGCGATAACGGCTTGAATGCCAATCGAGGTTTAGCGCTGGGAGCGTTTGCCTTCCAGCGCTCTCTCTAGCATAACCCCGCCCATCTGATCACAGCTACCCGGTGTAGACCGCCCTATTCTAAGTACCCATTTCCTAATATGGCTAATTAGTTACCTAGGCTGTACTCTACTTCCCTGAACAACCTGATGCATAAATCCCCCCTCCCTGCATCTCCAGCCACGTCATGTGGGAATTCCCATTCAGCCCCTTTCCCCACTCCCAGGTAGCAATGCGAGGCAGCGTCATAGGGAATCCCCATTCCACATCCTCTTCGCTGCTGGTGGGAGGGATCCCTGATTAACGTCTGTTTATTCTTGTATTACTGGTGGGCATAGTGGAATATGGAGCCCCCGACAGGCTTTCATTTAGTGTTGGACCAATTAATAGTACAGGTAGTCCTCGACTTAACAACAGTTTATTTAGTGACCGTTTGAAGTTACAGTGGCAATCGAAGTGGCTTACGGCCGTGTTTCAGACTTATGATCATCGCAGCATTCCCCACGGCGAGGCGATTTACATCCGGATGCTTGACAACCTGTTCACAGTTATGTGTGTGATCACATGACCTCGGGATAGTTTCAGTATCCTGTGGTCACGTGATCACATCTTTGCGACCGTCTGATGAGCAAAGTCTATGGAGAAGCCAAGTTCACTTAACAACCGTGTTCCTGATTTAACAGCTGCGGAGATTCACTTAACCAATGCGGCAAGAATAGTCGTAAAAGGGGGAAAACCTCTCACTTAGCCACATAAATTCTGGGCTCGATTGTGGTAGTAGGTCAAGGGCTACCTGTATGGTGTCCAGAACGTAAGCAAACTCAGATCCGGGTGGATTAATAGATCTAGGAAACACAGGAAAATTAACCATGGAAAAGGACCCACTGATCCATCAAATCTGCCCTTGGAGGAGGCCAAAGAGTTTCATCAACACTGTTTTGCCAAAAGAGCCAGCTTTGTTCTGTCTATTCAGGCCCAATCACAACACTCCCATTGCTAAGGACTTTGGCTTTGAGAGAGGAATGGTGACTGAGGCCCTACGTTAAATGAATCTGTGAGGACGCCTGTCCCAGATGACACTTAAAATGAGATGAATTGCTTTCAACGGCAGCATTCGGAGCGAGATCTTATTGACAGCTGAGCTGTGTGATAGATTGATGCCCTGTTGGCTCCCTGTCTCTTCATTCTGGGATTTAAAAGCGAGGAAGAGGAGGAACTGGAGTTATCTACTTCAGGGTTCTCCAACCTTGGCAACGTGAAGACTTGTGGACTTCAACTCCCAGAATTCCCCAGCCAGCGCATGCTGGCTGGGGAATTCTGGGAGTTGGAATCCACAGGTCTTGGAGGCCCCTGTTCTGTCTGCTTTCAAACTAGCAGGCTTTACAGCATAAAAGTCTATTTACAGCATAGTTCTTTCCCTTTTTTGGCGGGGGGTCTTTCAATGTGAGACACTTGCTAGGGTTGCTTTGGGTTTCCTCACTTCACCATGGCAAGTTTCGGGAGCCCTTGTGGAGCAAAAAAGTGTATTTTTCCAAGAGTTGGTTGCAATTAGATGCATTCAAGAACTCTGTTCATTTTATCCATCAACTTTAGGAACTGCCCACCTGTAAAATCTCCTCCAAAGCAAAAGCGCACCCGAACAATTTGTAAGCTAACCTTGTGCCTCCAAGCGTGTTCTAACACACACACACAAATATTTGAACACCTTTCTGGCCATCAAGGTTCTCCAGTGTTCAGTGAAGCTGTTCTAGACCTGCTTTAATGTGGCTTGCATGAGCCACAATATTTTGTTTCTCTGTCAAAACTCAGTAGAACTAAGGAGAAATTCCCTGGCCAGTGAGAAAAAATAATCAGTGGAACAACTTGCCACCAGAAGTTGTGAGTGCTCCAAACACTGGAAGTTTTAAAGAAATGTGGGACAACCCTTTGTCTGAAGTGGTGTAGGGTTTCCTGCCTTGGCAGGGGGTTGGACTAGAAGACCTCCAAGGTCCCTTCCAACTCTGCTCTTCGATTCTAAAATGGGCGCACCTGCGATCCAGGTATTTCTTCCTGCTTCTCCTTATGGCTACTCTTCTCAAAGCTCTCCAAAATAATGAACACACTTCCCACAGAGAGAATGGAGATCCTTTCCAGGCTCTTACATTGATTCGGGAGGTTTTTTTCCCCCCCCTTCCCCCCCCCCCCCCCAGTGAAAATCTTCAGTTCTCTGAACATTTCTTTCCTCCTCCTCCGCTTGCTCACTAACGGTTTACACGTACAACTCCAGGAAGTCAGTTTGTTGTGACCTGCTTTGGCTTTGCAAGTTCGGCGAGAGCCCTTTGTTGATGGCTTCGCCGCTTCCAACAAAAACTGCCAGAAAAAGGGGGTGGGAAAAAGACTTCTTTGTCCCAGAGAAGCGGCATTTATCTGGGACAGCAGTCAAATGACAAGGGCAAAGCTCACCTCCGAAGTGTACCGGAGTGAGGAAACAATGCAGGAGCCATCGTGGTGCCTCTCCCATTCTCCTTTGTTAATAGGCTCAAAAACAACTTGCCAGCCACGGTTGTTTTCTAAGGCTCCAAAAACCAAGAAAAGCACATTGTGATTCTACTAAGCCAATGTCTTTATTGTATCCCTCGCCTGTAGACAGAATCTTGCCAGACTAAAACCTGCTACCATCTCCATAAAGCAGGAGGGGCAACTTTTAAGACCCCGTGGACTTCAACTCCCAGAATTCCCCAGCCAGCAACAACCAAAACAAGCAGCTCTACCAAAAGCAGCAACCCTACACATACACTCCCATAGATCTTAGATGGGATTTAGCTGGCTGGGGGATTCTGGGAATTGAAGTCCACAGGGCTTAAAGTTGCCGAGGTTACACCCAGCATATAGCCTGGGAAGGAAGTTAGGGAGGAGCTGTCTTCACCCTCCTCCTCTCACACACAAACTGCGTGAACTGCATTCTCCCTCGCTTCTCTGGAAGGCAGCCCCTCCTCCCTGGGGATCCAGGCTGCATTCACCACATTTTTAATACTGCAAGATACCTCTCTCCACATTGCGTAACGAGTTATCTCAAACTTCTCCCCACAGAAACACATAACCTCAGGATAAGGTGATATCTTGAGCCAGATGTTACTGGAGAAGGATCTTAGGTAAAGTTTTGCAATCTCTTTGTAAAGAGGTTTGCTAAAAGTTGTATTAAATTTCAGAAGTAGGTACTGGGGGGAAAGAAACCCCCCTCCCAAACAGTCATACATTTGCACATATGTGTACAAACACACACACACACACAGGGTTTACCAGAAGGAAGCCCAATGGTCGATATATACGTCATATTAAATGTTCAATTTTTTTGTGGTTTTCTTCTAAATCCTTCAGATACATGAACTTTTGAACGTTGCTAAGTACAGAAACATTTACCTGGGGGTGGCGGGAAGAGGGGGAAACAGTAACACACACACACACAGATCTACTCCGTTCTTGTAGGAAATCTTCCCTGCAGAAAAATTGAGGCTCGAATCAGTTCCTCTCTGGACTAGTTTTCTACAAGCAGAGGAATTCGAAACGAAAACCGTGGCCCGCTTCAATCCCAAATTCCACTCCCTTGCAGTTCCAAAGCCATAAAACCCCGGGAGCGTTGCAAGCCGCTTTCCGCCAATGCGCAAAGAGCGTCTTTTCCAGCATCTCCTAACGTTTACCCCAATTGTCTCGTGCTATCACTAGGTTGAAGGAACGAGTGGTAAGGATTTAAGTCCCCGTGGGAAGCGGCAGCCACTCTCCGTATGTAACGCTTTCATCCATTACGTTCCAAGCGCTTTTTCGGTGCCCTGCATCTTCCTCTTCGCCGCTTCTGCAGCCCTGAAACTTGGCTTCCTCTCCTGCGGCACCTTCCTGCCACTCTTAGGTCAGGGGCCTCCAACTTCGGCCACTTTTAAGACCTGTGGACTTCAGCTATGCTGGCTGGGGAATTGTGGGAGTTGAAATCCTTAGGTCTTAAAATTGCCACGGTTGAAATCCGTAGGTCTTAAAATTGCCACCCTGCTCTAGGTAACTGTTTCTGGGGGAAAAAAAAAACCAGTTAAAATCCAAGCCTTTAACAAAAGCCACTTCCTCCAAAGGGGCTGGGAATGATGGGAAGGAGATGGTCTGGGCAGGAGCCACCTAGCCAGCCAGCGAGAGGTGCTGTGAGGAGCTATGGGAGCATGTACACTTTGCACCAATTTTCCACCCGTTACCTGGATGCATGGTTAATTACGATTGCAAATGCTTAACTCAAGGCCTCTGGAGCTGACCTCTCTGGCAGCCTAGAGCTGCAGCTCAATCAACTAACATGCTCGTGGTTTCTCTGATTTGTAGCAGCGCAGCTGTCAATGCGCAGGGGAAGAGAGGTTTTTGATGTTTGAGAAACGGCATTTGTGAATGGTGGGCTAATCAAGGACTCGGTCTGAAGCAAATGTTGGGAGATTATTTTCCAGCCTTTAAAGTTGCAGGTGGTGTTAAAAGAAAACTTGGAAGTTGTGTATTGGCTGAATGGCCGACACTTTACAGCAGGGGTCCCCAACCGCCAGTCCGCGGACCGGTCCCGGTCCGTGGAACAAGTCTTACCGGGCCGCTGGTTGCTGGGCGCCGCCATCTTTTTTTGGTTAAAAAGTGCTTCCGGTGAGCTTTTCCGGGTAGAAAGCCATTTCTACCCAAAAAAGCTCACCGGAAGCGCTGGCGCTGCCATCTTTTTCGTCAAAAAAAGATGGCGGCGCCCAGTTGATGCCGGTACCGGGCCGCGGCGCCCAGCTGATGCCGGTACCGGGCCGCGGCGTCAAAAAGGTTGGGGATCACTGCTTTACAGAACGTCGAAGTGAGGGCAGCTAACTGGACGTGATTTAACAGTGTGCAGCCCAAAGGCAGTTTGGTTTAGCGGTAAAGGCACCAGGCTGGAAACCAGGAGACAAGGGAGTTCTAGTTTTGCCTTAGGCATAAAAGCCAGGTGGGTAACCTTAGGCCAATCTCTAGGAGATTGTGAATTCTAGTCCCACCTTAGGCATGAAACTGGTGGGTGACTTTGGGCCTCTCTCTCATCCCAGTCCACTTTACAGGGATGTCGTTGTGGGGAAAATAGGAGGAGGAAGGAGGAGTATTACCTATGTTAGCTGTCTTGAGTTATTAAATAATAAAGGTGGGCTATAAATAAATAAAAATCTAGGCAGTAGAGAAGAAATCAGTAACTTTTTAAGACAGAAACTCCTATGAAATAGGGTAAAGGACTAAGTCACCCATTTGATGGGTTCTTACGTTCTTGTAGCGTTTCTTGTCTGCTGGTGTTTAATGCCATTTTGAATGCCGAAGAAGCATAATTTGGACACATTCTATCCTGCCAGCCCAAAGATGCTCTTTCTTGGTAGTTAGAACTCACTCCGTGGAGCTAGGTTGTGTGAAAACCTTGTCAACCCCCCTGGAGGCTGAGATTCTTTCTGTTGATGTTGTTTTACAGGATGTGTTCTTAATTTGCTTTTCCCTTGTGAGCCCAGCATCCTTCGAAAACGTCCGTGCAAAGGTGAGTAAAAACATATTTATTGTTTCTCCTCTAAGAGAGAGAACCATAGCAGAAAAAATGAATCAATCAAGAATAGCTCAGTGAATAGCAAAATGTGGCTTTATAAATGTCGGGAATCGTTTTGGAAATGGAACCGGTATCCGACTTGCCACACTGTGTTTAACCTTAAAGGTAAAAGCCAGTGGCAAAAGTTATTTTTCTTGTCCTGGACTGTCAATCAAGCTCATAGTGAAATACAGTTCTGACCTCTGCTTTGTTGTTCTGCTTCCTTTTGTGTATGTGTGGGTTTCTTTTGTTTTGTAGCAATAGTGTGCCCCGTTAATAGGCATGCCTTAATGAGCCAGAGCTCATTGGGTGGGAAATCTCTTTCGACAGGATTGATTTTCCAGGCAGAACCATTTGACAATTTTGTTCCCCTTTTTCTGCAGTGGTATCCAGAGGTGCGGCACCACTGCCCCAATACCCCCATCATCCTAGTGGGAACCAAACTTGATCTCCGAGACGACAAGGACACTATAGAAAAGCTCAAGGAGAAGAAGCTGACGCCAATCACCTACCCACAAGGCCTTGCCATGGCGAAGGAGATCGGTAAGCCTTCGGCCCATTTGGAGGGCTTATTGTTAGAGTCCCTTTGGATTGAGGGACTGTAGAGCAGCGTTTTCCAAGGTGGGCAACTTTAAGAGGTGTAGACTTCAACTCCCAGAATTCCAATTCCCCAGCCAGGAAATCTGGGAGTCCATACGTTTATAAAATAAATTGAGAGATGATAGAGGAGATACAGAGTTAAATAAATCGATACGTGTTAAACGAGATGGATAGATGAGAAAAAGATGATAGATTAGATCAGGGGTCTTCAAACTTGGCAGCTTTAAGACTTGTGGACTTCAGCTCCCAGAGTTTCTTTTCCTCCAGCCCTGTTAGCTCAGGAATTCTGGGAGTTGAAGTTCACAAGTCTTAGATTTGCCAAGTTTGAAGACCCTTGGGTTGGATTGATAGATGGGATATAGCGATAAATGGATGATGGATTTGTTAAATTTATTTGTCACCTATCTCACCACAAGGCTACTCTAGGCAGCTTACAAACAATTAAAATGAAGAAATGAAGAGCATGAACCAGAAGTAAGATAATAGAACCATAAAATAAACAATAAAAGGTGGCACAGCGAGACAGTTACATGATTAGCAAAAAAAAAAGAAATAGGTAGAAAGCAGAGAACAAGGAGAGAAGTGGAGTCTGCCCTCAATCCAGCTGATGATGATAGATAAAAGAAAAATGTGTGATAATTTGTTTGATAGATTAGATAAACGATAGACGAGATGAATCGATAGATAACAGACGAGAGAAGGAGAGAAGATTGGTAGACAGACAGACAAAATGTGATATTGAAATCCTTTCGTGAGGCTGCACATTGCAATCTCCCTGTTCTCCTGCTGCTGCTTTTTAATTTTAGGATTTGGGGATTCGTGTGTTCCTCAGCCAGCTGGCCTTTCCTTTTTTTGTAGGTGCAGTCAAGTACCTAGAATGCTCAGCACTTACGCAGCGGGGCCTGAAGACAGTCTTCGACGAAGCCATCCGAGCCGTCCTGTGCCCCCCTCCAGTCAAGAAGAGGAAGAGAAAATGCCTGCTGCTCTAATGCTGCTGCTGCTTTCATCCCCCCCTCCCCCCCCCCCAAAAAAACCTTTTGTGCTTTGCTTGGAATAACGGAGCATTCCTGCATTTCTGTTTTTTGTTTTTGTTTTAAATTGGTTATCTCTCCCCTTCAGGTTATCCTAAAACAGCCATCTTACATATTTCCCTTTGTTTAAAAAAGTTAGCTTCTTCCTTCCTTCTCCTTTTTTAAAAAAGACATATAAAGGCCTTACTTCTCCCCAACCCCCAACCCTTTTTTCCCTGCTCCGCTTAATCAATCAACTGTTGCCAAACTTTCTGCTCCTTACTCTTCTTGGATTGCTGTGCTTTGTTATGTGAAGCCACCAGACCTGTTTTGTTTTTTTTTCCTTGCAGAGTCAGGCAGGTGTCTTTAAAAATACTAATGTTTTATTACCAGCTGCAACACTTTAATCGGGTTTTCCCAGGAAGAAGAAAAAAAAAAAGTTGCTGTCTAAAAATGCCCTCGTTCATCCGACAGCTCCTTCACACCCATCTTTCATGCTTGAACAAATGCAATAATTGACAACTCCAGATTAACCCTTCCCCTTTTTTAATATATATATATATATATATATATATACATATGTCAAATCAACTAAGGTCTGTGATTAAAGCAAATTTTTTTTCCTAGAAATGTATTTGTCTTCCTTCACGGCAGAATACTATTTCCTCGGAGGAAAGACAACTGACTTGGTGGAACAGAATTGACCAGACAGTATTTCGACACTGTAAAGATCAATTTACACTACATTTTCAACACACTAGTTTAAAACCAAGGGGGTATTATTTTCTCTCTTGTATGATTAAAAAAAACCCACAAAAGGACTCCTTCCAGCAGCCAATGAACAGCTGAGCAGCAGGTTGGAGTGTTTTTCTAGAATATTTGTTCATATTATTTTGGTAGGACTTTAAGCTTATTACAATTTTGAGCTAGTCCTCTCTCCCACATGTTCTTGCTGGATGCTTTTCTGATAGAATCTCCTCCTGAGCAATATTAATTTGTATTTTAAATCATTTTTAAAAAATTTGTATTAGCCACTTATTTTTTGATGATAAGAGTAGTCAAACGTAGCCTTCTATCTCCCCCCCCCCCGTCCTAATTATGTACATGGTTTAAACCAGGTGTCTCCAACCTTAGCAATTTTAAGACTTGTGGACTTCAACTCCCCGAGTTCCTCAGCCAGCTTGCTGAAATTGAAGTCCACAAGTCTTAAAAGTTGCCAAGGTTAGAGACCCCTGGTTTAAAAAGCTTTCTTCAGTCTTGAAGATAACTTGGTGTAAAAACCAAGGGCAGCTGATCAATCACTTTTTTAAAAAATAATTTCACCCCACTTTTTCCCTCTGGCTAATGTCTCTTTTATCTGCCAGGTATCCTGAAGCTGTATTAATTTTACCAACACTGACATGGCTCATTTTTAACGTTTTCAAGATCCTGGTCTAATAAAGGTAATCAGGCTTGTGAGGTTCTGTACGTCAGATGCTGGCAAGAACACGTTGATTTCTTCCCCCAACAACCTTTCAATTACTAGAACAAATATATATATATATATATAAATATAAATATATATAAATGGAGTTTGCAAGATTGTGAAGTTTTTACATTGGATCTTTTTTGGTAAATGCAAGTTAGCAGTCTGTTTTGCATGTATGACTTAATAAATTCTTAAATCACACCTGGGTTTAGAGTTTGGACTCCGTGAGTTGCATTGAGGTATGTCAAGCGTGCCATCCTGTTGCAGGATTCTTATCCCCAGGGATGGGAATTTGAGCACCTCATGGGTTAAATTCTTTGTGCCACACGCAACTGAGCTTTGTATTGTGGTTTATTTCTCTGCCTCTTCACCCATTCTGCTTTCGTTTTTCTTGCTTCCTAATTTGAAAGAATCCTTACAAGTAATCCTCCACTTATGAAAGTTCATTTAGGGACCATTCAAAGTTACACTGTCATGGAAAAAGTGACCTATGGCCATTTTTCATGCGACCATTGCAAATCCCCACAGTCACGTGATCAAAATTTGGACGCTTGGCAACCGACTCCTGTTTGACGGTTGCAACGTCCCAGGTTCATGTGGTCCCTTTTTGAGACCTTCTGATAAGCAAAGTCAACGGGAAAGCTACTTTCACTTAACAATTGTGTTACTAACTTAACATCTGCAGTGATTCACAACTGTGGCAAGAAAGGTCATAAGATGGGGGGGGGGGGGGAAACAACAGTCTTGGCAACACAATGTTCAGGCTCAATTGTTGTAAGTTAAGGATTACCTGTATTTTCTTGATAAGATTGCACCAGAAAATGGTTTCCGTCAATTCACTGTTTTTCAACTCTTAACAACTCTTTTAAGATATTTGGACTTCAACTCCCAGAATTCCTCAGGGCTGGCTAGGGAATTCTGGAAGTTGAAGTCCACGCATCTTAGAATTGCTAGAGTCGAGAAGCCGTGGTCTAACCCAGGGGTCTCCAACCTTGGCAACTTTTAAGACTTGTGGACTTCAAGTCCACAAGTCTTAAAGTTGCCAAGGTTGGAGACCCCTGACTCTAACCAGTATGGAAGGCAACTCTTGTGACTCTTCCTGTACAGCTGCCCATGTCAGCAGTGTCCGCCTATGACACTCTGCCACGAAACCTTTCGTTTATGACCCTGAAAGAGAGAAAACACCAAGCTGATTGGGTGGAAACATTTTTAATGGGGGGAAAATATTGGGATGTTATCTATAGATGATGCTTAGGCCAACGGTCCTCACTGCTAGACCCCTTCCATCATTTTGTCCCATTTGCTGCACCCAACGGGAGAAATTCCAGAATGCCACTTTTTAATCTATTCCAACAAGGTCGTTTTTATGCAGAAATACTGTATATGGAGCCGAAAACGTCCCCAACAGCGAGGTTTCAGGAGCCAACTGTAGATATTTGGCACATTTTGGAAGGAGAGGCCTCTTTTGTGAGGCTCTTTAAAATTACCCAATGCAAACTGAGCCCATAACACTCTTGTATAGCATGGTAGAGAAAACTGATAGAAAACCAGTTTCACATTAGTTTAAACTAATCCACGTTACGGCAGCTCAATGGGAAGCATGCTAAGTAGGTACCAAATATTAATATGTGCGAGAGAAAGTATAAATTTTTCAAATCTTGACTCTGGAATTCTGTCTTGGCCTTAAAGGCGGTCCTTGACTTAACAACCGTTTGCTTAGCAACCAAAGTTGCACTGAAAAACAGTTAAAACCGGTCCCTGCATTTAACCACCGCAGCATTCCCACAATCGAGTAATCAAAATTTGGGTGCTTGGCAATTGTCATGTTATTTAGGACAATTGCAGCATCCCTTGATCATTTGGTCATCATTTGTGACTTTCCCAATCAGCAAAAGCCAAATCAGAGGAAGCCAGATTCACTTAACGACCTTGGCAAAAAAAAAAAAAGATTGTGAAATTGGGTGCAACTCAATTGCCTTAGCAACAAAGAGATGCTGATTCCAATTGTGGTAAGTCAAGGACCACCTGTACTTTTTTTTTAAAAAGCCCATTACTGACCTTCCTTGCCACTGAAACCAGAATAAGATTAAAAAAGAATGCCAAATTCAAATTTAGTTTGCTTCCACATCTGAAATACATTTGTTTTTAAAAGCACGTACATTCCTGGATTTCCGTAATTTTTCCAGGAAGTGAATGCGTTAAAAATCAGCCTATTTCCTTTCTGCTAGAAGATCTTTCCAAAAACATCATCTAAAAAGATATCATCCTTAGGACCGCAATTACTTTTGAAGAATCCTCTAATCAACTTGATCTGGATTTGCTTCTTAGAGACAATCACACCAACCTTTTATCAGCTCTATAGATTTGTATTATAAATCTTGATACAGAGCTAAAATGATCTTTCTGGTTTGTACTAACACGAACCGAAGACCGTGGCTTTTAGATTTTCTATCATTAATTGCACATTCAGCAGTGTTAAAAAGAATTGTAAACAAAAGCAGACAGCATTGCACAGATACCCAAGAATTAAGAGTTCAGTCAGTGAAAAGCATCTAAAATGCTCGTTCCTTTCAAGAAAGAAAGAAAAAACCAAGACGTAATCATCTGCGTATCCAAATAGGCCAAGTCTTGAAGTTAATTTTCACCAACATTCCTGACTTACTTATTACACATTTACAAGTCCCTCGTTAAACCCTGCAGGTAGGTCTCCACTATGCCACAAGGACTTGGTTTGACGACACATAATGTGCTTTAAAAAACACGTCAGCAGATCAGATGGATCTCGGGGGGCTTCAGGAAGACATCAATCATCGCTTTCCATCAGTTGAGTTCTCCGTCACAACAATCCCTGGGCGGATGTGACTTCGTAAAACTTCCATGAAATCCTATCTTTCGACACGAAACATCTCAGTCCGTTACAAGCAGCCCAGAAGATGTTGACTTCAACCTTAAGGTGGTCATCCAGAAACATCTGAAGACCTTGGTCTGGTTTCTGCTTTTAGACACACGCAGCTGAACTGCTAAAGGCTTGTTCTTGTAAACACTTGGGACACAGTCAGGTTGTGCTTGTCCATCTCTGCTGTTATACAACATTCAGAAAGCTTCCCCTTGGGACCGACACGAAACGCAAGACGCATCGGTTTGGACCAAGCTGTGGAGAGCTCTGAGGACTATATCTGGCCAATGATCGGTGATCATCTTGGGGCTGATTAAAATACTACCAAAGGCAGTTTCTCGCGACCAGCTGGCTGAATACTTGACCTCAGAAGAAAACCAACTGCAAAAGAAGACAATGCTGGATTTGAAGTTATGATTCTGTGCCTTATTTTAAATACTTTTTGTTCTCTCACATGAATACTTGGTAAGTCATCACGTTCTGGATATTATTAACACTTGGTTGCAAATTTTTTCATACAAACATTTGCAAACTCAAGGATAAAACAGGCCACCCAGGATCTGGAAGGTAAACCAGTAACAATACCCCAATCAAGGAACTACCAATCACACAACTTAATCAAGGAACCTTACAAGCCATTTTTATACAAACAGCAAATCTTTTCTAGCACTGATGATGTTACCTAGCTGGGTAGTGAAACATCTACAAGAAAACCACCTAGTTGAGAGAGCACCAAGGACCCCACAGTTCAACCCTGAGCTCTCAATTTTCTCTTCTACTGAGACCTTAGAAGGGCTTTAAGTTGGAAACCAAATGGATAAGCTCAATAGAGAGAAAAGGCCCTTCACGCTAAAAACAAACGAAGCTTTGCAAAATATTATGCCTGGAACATTTCAAAGCGATGTTTTTGCACATTCCTAACTAGCACAAAACAACATATGGAAAGGATTCCTGAAGGCAAAATTTTATGGGACTAGAACTCACCATCTCCTGGTGATAGCCATGAAAGGCAGCTGGGCGACTTTGGGACAATCACCAGGAGACGGTGAGTTCTAGTCCTGTCTTTCTCGCAAAGTCACCCAGCTGGCTTTCATGGCTAAGGCAGGACTAGAACTCACCATCTCCTGGTGATAGCTATGAAAGGCAGCTGGGCGACTTTGGGACAATCACCAGGAGACGGTGAGTTCTAGACCCATCTTAGCGATGAAAGCCAGCTGGGTGACTTTGGGACAATCACCAGGAGATGGTGAGTTCTAGTCCTGTCTTTCTCGCAAAGTCACCCAGGTGGCTTTCATGGCTAAGGCAGGACTAGAACTCACCGTCTCCTGGTTTCTAAGCCAGCCCCTTAACCACTATAGCAAACCAGCTTTCCTCTTTTCTCCGGACTCGAGGGCATTTCCCCACAGCATCCAAGAGAAGATCCTGGCTTATGAAACCATTAAATCCTGGCTTATGAAACCATTAAATAATCCACCTACCCTTTTGTGCTGTTTTCTTCGACGATGTGGATGATTTTCCCAGGGAGAAACAAGTGAGGGTACTGAGGACTGGACCCTAAAGGGGAATTGTCGTCTAAACTTGTGTACAAAGGCGACTGCTGGGCCATCAGGTTCTCTTCGGCGAGGAGAGGCTGGGTCAAACTATCTTGGTTCCTGCCATCCAGTTCTGTGGGGAAGTTATCAGGTTTTCCTCCAAAAACTTCGTACCAGCACCCATGCAAGAGAATCTGGTACTAGATGTTGGGCGACCGACAGAGAACAAAAGGAACAGAGGAGGAAATGGTGAAATGGGTTTTATCTGACTGAGGTGAGCAGGAACGTCCTTGGCTTAATTTGTTTCGCCATCGTTTGACGTTACAATGGCACTGGGGTAAAAAAAAATGGACTTGCAACCAATTCTGTGATGACCATTGCAGCATTCCCATGATCATCAAAATGCAGGCCCTTGACAACCGAATTAGAATCAGAATGGAAGGGACCTTGGAGGTCTTCTAGTCCAACCCCCTGCTCAAGCAGGAGACTATACCATTTCAAATGGTTCTCCAATCTCTCCTTTAAAACTTCCAGTGTCGGAGCATTTATAACTTCTGGAGGCAAGCAATTCCACTGGTTAATTGTTCTAATGGTCAGGAAATTTCTCCTTAATTCCATGTTGCTTCTCTGCTTGCTTAATTTCCACCTGTTGCTTCTTGTCCTGCCCTTCGGGTGCCTTGGAAAATAGCTTGACTCCCTCTTCTTTGGGGCAGCCCCTCAAATACTGGAATACTGTTATAATGTCATCCCTAGCCCTTCTTTTGTCTAGATTAAAGGTAAAGGTTTCCCTTGCACACCTATGCTAGTCATTTCCGGCTCCAGGGAGCGGTGCCCATCTCCATTACAAAACCGAAGAAAAGCCAGTGCTATCCAAAGACGTCTCCATGGTCATGGGGCTGGCAGGACTAAACGCCAAAAGCGCACAGAGGAACGCTGTTTCCTTCCCACCAAAGTGGTCCCTATTTTCCTACTTGCATTTTTTTACATGCTTTCGAACTGCTGGGCTGGCAGAATCTGGCAACCGACGCTAGGGATTCAAACCGCCGAACTACCGACCTTTCTGATCGACAAGCTCAACATCTTAGCCACTGAGTCACCGTGTCCCTCTGTCTAGATTGGCCATACCCAATTATGCCAGTTGCACTGTCCTGGGGTCACTTAATAGCCATTTGTGTCCTTCCCAGCTAGCCTCCAACAAGCCACATCAATGGGGGGAAGGGGGATTGACCAACTTTATTTGACCAAATGTGATTAGACACGCAAGGAATTTGTCTTTGGTGCGATAAGAGTAACAGCAGAAGAGGCTAATAGCAGTAGCTATTGCTGCTCTTGTCAACAGCATGCCAGAGTTGGCTTCATTTAGTTTAATGTCAGCATGTTGCTCCTAATAAATCTTTTGATTTTTTTTTTTAAGCTTGGCTCAAGACTTATGATTTAATGAGGGCAATCGCTGGAATCCCGACAGCTGTTAGTTTTCCACCCTTAAATCTGGGCCACTAAAGTAAGAAACAGCCGACTTAACTTTTCATCCCAAAAATCCTATTTAAAACAATTTACAGAGGTTTTTTTATTTTATTTTTACCTTGGGTTTGTTACAATTGGCAACGATTCTAATGATCCTCCTTTTCAGGTCTTCCAAGTTGAGCATGCTCAATCTGTTTTTGGCGCAACGGAAAAAAAGCAAAGATCAAAATTCAAGACCTGGCAAAATCCAAAGCGCCGATTTTAAACCCGAACTCCACGTCGTGTGTACCCTTTACCTGGGAACGATGTCCTTTCCTACGATGACAGACACAATAAACTGCTTCGTGTAGTCCGCCAGGGATTTGCTTCAGAGAGAAGGAACAGGAAGGGAGGCATGATTAGGGCAGCCGAGGATGGATTCTCGCGACCCATATTGATAAAGGCAGGGGTTTATTTACCGACACAGGTAGTCCTTGACTTACGATCACCATTGAGCCCAAACTTTGTTGCTAAGCGAGACCATGAAGTGAGTTGTGCCTCTCCTTTTGCCACCTTTCTTGCCCCAGTTCTTACGTGAATCTCCGCAATTGTTAAATTAGTTAACACGGATGGTAAATGAACCTGGCCTTCCCCATCGACTTGGCTTGTCCAAAGGTTGCCAAGTTGATTATGTGACACCGAAGTCATCATCAATACCGTTTCCCTGAAAAGTATGACCTACCCTGAAAGTAAGTCCTAGCTTGATTTTTTTTATACACGAGCCCAATATAAGCCCTACCCCCCCCCCAAAAAATAAGCCCTAATTAAGATCCCACCCACTCCAGAGTGGACGGGTAAAAATTAAACTAGGGTGGGGATGGGGTGTGTATGGAGCTGCCCTACTACTTACCTTTGGACACTTGAAGCCAGGCCTCACGCACCCCAACACCTGCCTTGCCGGCCCATTTCTTCTGCAGCTGGCAAGGCTGGCAAGGCTTTCCTGAAGGCCTCTGGAGCTGAGGATCGATCCAGAACTCTGTTATCAGCCTCAGAGGCCTTCAGGAAAGCCTTGCCAGCCGCAGAAGAAAAAGTTTCTGAAGGCCTCTGACAGCGAAAAGGAGGCTAAGGGGCGATGCACGCAAGTGAGGTTAGTCGGTGGCTGGCTTTCCCCCGAAAATAAGACCTGGTGCCTTTTTGGGTGGCAAATTTTTTTTTATTAAGACAAGGTCTTATTTTCGGGGAAACATGGTATGGGTTGCCAAGAGTCTGACTTTGGATGATGTGACATGGGGACGCTGCAACGGTCATGTGGAAAATCGTCATAAGTTTTCTTCCCCGCAGTGCTGTTGTAAATTTGAACCGTCACTAAACGAACGGTTGTAAGTCAAAGACGACCTGTACACAACAATTCCCTTCTCTTTTAGAAAGAAAGTCGTCTTTATTTTGCTTTATTATACGATGGGGCAGAAAGACGCTTTAATGGGAAGCAACTTGACTCAACCAGTGATGAGGATGACCGCGCCCCCCCCAGGAAGCTCCAGGTTGAATCCCAGCTCCGCCTGGCGCCCTGATCAGACAGATGATTCCCCCATGAAAAGAAGCAATGGGAGAGAACGTACCTCAATAAGCCTCCAGGCGGAGAAAAAGCGTAACATCTCATGTTGGGGAAAGAGTTTCGGAGCATGATCGCCAGGATGGAGGCAATGCCCCCTCCTAAGCTATGTCCAGCGACGACCAGTTTATACTCCTAAGAGGGAAGAGAGAACAAGCAAAGGAAAAAGGCAGAATCTCCAATGGGAAGCAGAGCCAACTCAGTGTTGTGGCCTGTGGCAAAATCAGAGGAGGAGAAGGAGGCGTGTGGGAGTCAGGGTCAGAGCAACCTGGGAGCTCCAAGGGAGAAGAGAGAGAGAGAGAGAGAGAGACAGACAGACAGACAGACAGACAGACAGACAGACAGACAGACAGACAGAGGCCTGGGCCATCTGTCAGCCCTCAGATGGAGAGTCAACATCCCCCAGGTCTGGAGGTGGCTGATGAGGAAGAGGAGGAACAGTTGGGCCCAGTGCCTGACACACAAATGCACAGAAGGCAGAGGAGAGGAGAGGAGAGCAGTGGAAATCTGTGGGCTGGTCCTTGGGACGGAAGAGTCCCTGCTGCTAGTGAAGCTAACTCTGGGAATAGTGGTAAGAGGTTTATTGAATAGCCATAAGACCTTATCAATAGCGTAACATAAATATATAACAAGACAAAATACAGATAAGTTAGATATATAAGAATACATTAATAAAAACATATGTGGAAATCCAGGGAGTCAAAAATCAGATAATAGATCACCCTTGCAGGATACACCAATTTGTTAAAGATATTGGGTTCTTAGGACCGCTGCCTTGATTATAAACTTAGCAGTCCCTACGGATGATGTGTACATTAGAGGCCCGGAGGAAATATAACAATCTGTGGTTCGATTCCCAATGGGCTGTTCTTTCCAGTAGAAATGATAAATATTTAAGCCTAATGGGGGCATATATTTGGCAGTTGAACAAGATGTGGGAAATATCTTCAATGGCAGATGAACCACATAAGCAGGTTCTCTTGTGGTATGGTACATGGTGGAAGCGCCCATGTCTGGACGTGGAATCCACTAACTCAAATCTGGCTCTGGGACTCTGGGAATAAAAGGCAGGGGATGGAGGTGAATAGATGTAGCAGACAACTATTCAACTTCTGGCTGGACTTGTTAGCCCGTAAGATAAACTTTTTGGGCTACTGGCGCTCCAAATAAAGGAATCTTTTGAGTCAACGTCAGAGGGTTTGTTGCGTTTGGGGAGCCGGAGTCAGAACACTCGGCTGCCACATCAGAAGCAGAACAGAGTCCAAAGGCCACAACTTACGGGTGCGATGCTGAGCGCCTGGTTCAAAATCCCATCGTTTATCAGCCTTCTATAAATATAATTGGCAGCCTGAGTTATCCCCTAGAAGGAAAAATGATAAGGAGTTATCAGCACTGGTTAAGACTTCGTTTGCAAATACAGGTCGTTTTCCACTCACAAACGCAACTGGGATCAAAATTTCAGTCACTAAAGCAAGGCAGTTATTGAATCATGCCCGATTTTACACCTTTGCTGTGGTTGTTAAGTGAATCACCACTGGTTACATGAATCACGTGGGCATTCAATCCGCCTTTTCCCATTCATCTTGCTTGTCGGCAATACTGCTGGTAAGTTCAAACCGTCCCTAAATGAATTTGATGTCAGTTACTACCTGCAATAAAGCTAGCTTCCTCAACTACCTTCCTGTCCTGCCCCTGTCAGAGTCTGAATCCGAGGAAGAAGACGGACAGCTGACAGGGAATGGGAATGTGGCTCCGTTGGCTGTGGAGAAGGCTGGGGAAGGGCAATGTCCAGCTGGGCAGAGCAGGGGAGAGGTAGAACAAGAGAGACGGAATTCGGAGGAAGACCCAGACGCACCCCCTCTTCATCCTAGGGCACACAGGGAGGAACGGAGAAGAGAGCAAGGTGGGTTGCGTGGCTTATGGGGGAGGAAAGGGCCCCGATTCCCTTCATTAGCCACATCTGGGAAGACGGTAAGAAAGGCAGGCTGCGTGCAGCAGGCTGCTGGGAGCAAACGTGACTTTATGTTGTCGTGACGTATCTGTGTTCCTGGTGTCTTCCCGTGTGAGTTTTACTTTGCCTTCAAGTCTGAAATTCTTGCTCCTGCCCTGCCGAACTAATTACTTCAGTTTGGCTTGCTTGGACTTTAAGTTACAGTTTGTGTTGACCATGTTTTGGACTGAATTTCCTCCACTTAAAGACTGTTCCTGGCAAAGATTTTCTCCAGCCAGGTAACCTGGACATTGGGGGCAAAGTTGGAGATTATAAAGGGACTCTTATTGATTATCTGACTGTGTTGCCTTTGTGCCACGCCCCGGGTCATCACACTTCCCATCCCACAACTTACTAGAAGTACAGCCTACTACTAGTCCATTCATTATTACTCCACATTCTACTACTGAGTGGCGTTGATGTTACTACAGATAGCCCTCAACTTACAGTCGTTTGTGTAGTGACCAAACTTGCAACAACACTGAAAAAAGTGACCAACAACTGATCTTCACGCATGTGACAATTGCGGCATTTCCTGTCACATGATCCCTACAGTCACATGATCCGAATTCGGCTGCTTCCCGACGAGCGTGTATTTATGATGGCTGCAGCATCCCCAGATCATGGGATTGCTGTTTGCAAACTTCCCAGCCGGTTTCCAACAAACAAAGTCAATGGAGAAAGTCAGATTTGCTTAACGATGGCATGACTCACCTAACAACCTCAGCTTATTGGTGGTAAAAAAAAAATGTCTACAAATTCAGATGCAACTCACACCTTGTTTCCCAATTGTCATAAGTCAGGGACTATCCTATAGGCTCAACACAACAGGCCCTTCTCCAGGATGGCACCCAACCCCTGAAGCTATCTCATGAGGTTCCTCTCTCTCTCTCTCTGTAACCATATGGTTTAGCTACACTTAATTTTAGAATATAGAAAAATAGAGTTGGAAGGGACCTTGGAGGTCTTCTAGTCCAACCCCCTGCTTAGGCAGGAAACCCTACACCACTTCAGACAAATAGTTCTCCAATCTCTTCTTAAAAACTTCCAGTGTTGGAGCATTTACAACTTCTGGAGTCAAGCAGTTCCACTGGTTAATTGTTCTAACAGTCAGGAAATTTCTCCTTAGTTCTAGGTTGCATCTCTGCTTAGTTTTCATCTGTTGCTTCTTGTCCTGCTTTCCAGGTGCTTTGGAGAATAGCTTGACTCCCTCTTCTTTGGGGCAGCCCCTCAGATATTGGAAGACTGCTATCATGTCACCCCAGTCCTTCATTTCCATAAACGAGAAATACCTAATTTCTGCAACCGTTCTTCATATGTTTTAGCCTCCAGTCCCATAATCATCTTTGTTGCTCTTGTCTGTGTTCTCTTCTACACAGGAACACTGCAGCATGCCACTCTTCAACGAAGCATAACTGATAAGAGCTTTATCAAACCCTGTGGCTCAGTGATTTGCCCATATTAATATTCTGTGTCATTGATTTGCTCTTATAAAAATTACTGGTGGGCTTAAAGATTTCTGAGTCCAGGACCGTGGCATGGAAGAAATACATCAAAACAACAGCAGGCAACTAGCCAAAAATTTAATAAATAATATAATAATAATAAAATAAAATAATACAATGAAATAAATGAAATAAAAGATAAAAAAATAATAAAAGAAATATAAAAGAAAATATAAAAGAAATAAAAAAATAAGAAAAAAAATAAAATGAAATAAGAGATAAAATAAGATATAAAATAATAAATTAAATATAAAAGAAAATATAAAAGAAATAAAATAAAATAAGAAAAGAAATAAAATAAAATAAAATAAAATAAAATATAAAATAAATATAAAATAAATTAAATATAAAATAAAATATAAAAGAAATAAAATAAAATAAGAAAAGAAATAAAATAAAATAATAAAAAAGGCCTTTCTGTGACGATCAAACCAGTAACAGTCCTAAAAGTATTTACCAACCTTATGGACCAGACCATTTTCTAGGACATCTTCAAGAGTTAAGCTTTCACAATCTGCTGAAAGGTCTGTTAGGACATCCTGAGTGAAGGGGAAAAAAATATAAAACAGGAAATGAATTTTCTTTAGGCTGTCAGAGACATCAAGATTATTGTCGCAGTATTATTGTGGTTTGAAAAAATGATAAAAGCAACCTATTGATTTAAAGCCAGAAATATTTTTGTTGGCTATTTTACCGGATAAGTATAGTGAAGGGAAATACATATTTGATTTTACATGTATTAACTGCAGCCAGAATTGCATTTGCACAATATTGGAAAAGTGAAGAGATCCCTACAGATGAAAATGTGATTAAAAAAAAATCAGGATGTGAGAAATGAATAGATTAACATTTATAATTAAGGAAAAAGGAACAAACTGAATACTTCTTGACATGGGATTTATTTTATCAATGGTTAGCTGACAAAAACAGAAGTTAGAAACATGGAAATATGAGAAAAAGGACCAATGAAACAAGGGAGGTTTGTTTAAATGGATAAGCAAATATGATGATAATAATCATGATTACAGAATTAATATCAATGTAATGAACATTGTGGAAAACATTTTGATTATTATTTCCTAAAACTATTTGTTCCCAGGCGACACACTGTTTAATTGAAAATAGAATTTTTATATGTTATAAAATAAAAAACTTTATGCAGAAAAAAAAGATTATTGTCACAGCTGATAAGAGGGGCATATTCTGACCGACTAGGTTCACAAAGCAAATTTGAGCTAATCCAGTGGTGGCTAACCTTTTTGGGCTCCTGTGCCGAAAATTACCCAGAGGGCAATGCGCGCAATCTCCCCCGCTTACCAGCACTGCACATTCACGTGTCTCATAGCTGATTTTTGGCCCGTTTGAGGCCTTTTTCGGCCTCCCAGATGCTCGGGGGAAGCCTCTACAGCCTTGGGAGGCCGAAAAACAGGCCCGTTTCATCACTTCTGGTATTTCCAGAAATACAGGAAGTGGCGAAACGGGCCTGTTTTTCGGCCTCCCGAGACTGCAGAGGCTTCCCATGAGCCTCCAGGAGGGTGAAAACAGCGTCAAACAAGCCAAAAATCAGCTGGGAGACATTCGCATGTGCAGTGCAGGTAAGTTTGGCTGAGGCTCACATGCCCGCACAAATGGCTCTGCGTGCCACCTGTGGCACGCATGCCATAGGTTCGCCATCACGGAGCTAATCCCTTTTTGGGTTCTTGGTATATACTAGCCAAACTTGGAAAAGATTCCATAAGCAAAAGCGTATTCCATCGTAGTACCACGTGAGCCACGTAGAGATTACCTCACACGATAAAGTTCCTCTCACAGCTACCACGATAGCTTCTTTTTGGTGATCCAGGGCCACGAAGAAAGGAATCTCAAAAATCTGAAAGCACAAGCAGCAGAAGAACAAGGGTTCTTTTAAGGTTGGCCTCTTTTGATTTTCCATCCAACACTGAAGAGGATCATCTGCCAACCGTTAACCCCGTCTAGGACAGAAGAGAATAGTTGTAGCTCAGGGTTGAATGGTGTGGTCCTTGCTGCTCTCTGAGCTTGGTTGTTTTCTTGCAGATATTTCATGACCCAACTAGGGAACGTCATCAGTGCTACAAGGGAGTGGGGGTTTTGGGGGGAGGAGGAGGAGGAGGAGAAAGAGAGAGAAACAAAGACTGTGGGGTCCTTAATGCTCTCTTGAGCTTGCAGACATTTCATGATCCAAAATAGGTAATATCATCAATGCTAGAAGCGAGTGAGATTTGCCTTCATGTTATATACTAGATTTAACTAATTTGATTTAATGAATTGCTTAAGCTCTCAACCAGCATGCCAAGATATGCCACCCTTCACATGGGCCAGTGTCCTTTTACAAAAACCACTCACAGCATTCACTGCCCCCTGATCTCGGGCAGCACCTTACAGATTCCATAGGGCCAGTTCAATCTTAAGCCACAAGAGCCCCAACTAAACCAGACCTCAACGGAAATCTCCAGTTCCAAAGGAGATCTTTGAAATGTTGAAGTCATGTCTTCTCCTCCCAACTATCACATTTAGCAGTGGGAACCTTCTAAGTCTTCGTTTTTCCAAAGCAGTTTTAGATCCAACTTGACCCCTGTTGAGTGGTGGGATTCAAAAAAATTTTTACTACCAATTCTGTGGGCGTGGCTTGGTGGGTGTAGTGTGGTGTGGCTTGGTGGGCGTGGCAGGGGAAGGTTACTGCAAACTCTCCATTCCCTCCCCACCCCACTAACCTGCTTTCCAGCTCCTTTCTCCTGTGCAGGGCAACCAAAGAAGACTCAGCCAATCAGCTGGGACTCGGGAGGCGGAGAATAGATGGGGGCGGGGCCAGCCAGAGGTGGGATTGGCCAGTTCTCCGAACTACTTAAAATTTCCACTACCGGTTCTCCAAAACCGGTCAGAACCTGCTGAATACCCACCTCTGCCCCTCTTATAAAATCTCATACAGGTGTCCTTCATGGCCAGGCCACCCTAAATGGAAAAATCTTTCCCAAGAACTAAACTTTGAAAGGTAGACTCAGAGATGTCTTCAAACAGCTTACTTTATTGTGAAAGCTGATGTGGATGAAATCTCTGTTTTGCAGTCCCGTGATCTGCAGGATGGAACCAAAGTGCATGTTAAGGTAATCGCTCCCGATGATTTCCGTCTGCGCCGCACTGTTTCTGCAACTAAGAAATCCAGAAAGAAAGAAAACGAAAAAAGAGTTGAGAATGGCTAGATTTCTATTATTGTTGAAATATACAGTATTTATCAGGATTCAATTAGAGGGGAGGACACAATCCATGGGTGTGTTTGTTCTTTTGTTTTCATACACATTTTTATTTTGCTTTGTCTTGTTTAGCTTAGTTTTGTAATTGTTCCCTTTCTTTCTTTTTGTTTATCTTGGAGTTTGCATTTTAACTTTGGAAATAAAACAAAAAACACATTTTAAAAAGAGAGAACAGTTACATCCCTACTTCTTTTACTTATCTTGGAGTTTGCATTTTAACTTTGGAAATAAAACAAAAAAACATATTTTAAAAAGAGAGAACAGTTACATCCCTTCTTTTTTTTAACTTATCTTGAAGTTTGTATTTTAACTTTGGACATAAAACTAAAACTATTAAAAAAGAAAAAGAGAACGGTTATATTTTTCCATGCCACATTTTTAGAATACAGATTCCATTACAAACTTTAAAAGCTATACAAATTCAGTGCATCAGACTTGCATTCAAGCACATAAGTCTTATAATGAGGCCGGTAGAAGCGTATTAAATATACTAAATTATAGCAGTTAGTCAAGGATTACCTGGAGACCAGGTGATTTCAGCTCAGACTCCTGGTTTTCATGTTATGCTCATGTTCTGTTCTAATATTGTCTAGATATATTGAATTATTCCAATATTTTTCTTTTGATCATTTCTACTTTCCTTCTTTTTTTTCCATGTCTGGTTTTATATTGTTTTTTTTTTTCATTTTCTAAGATGCTATCTATACTATAGTATAAATATAGATTTAGGTTAGTATACCAACCTAAATCTACACAAACATGCAATTTTTATTGTATAGTAATGCTATAATCATTCTTTATAAAAAAAGTAATATGATATTGGAAATGTTATAGCTGTTTCTATGGAGATTCTCAGTCATCCAAGTCATGGTTGTCCCAAAGGTGCTTTTTTCAAAAGCCAACTGGACTTTCTGGTTTTTCTTTGAAGACTTTTCGCTTCTCATCCAAGAATCTTCAATCAGAACTGAAGAAGCCTCTTGGATGAGAAGTAAAACGTCTTCAAGGGGAAAACCAAGAAAGTCCAGTTGCCTCCTGAAAAAAGCACCTTTGGGATTATAACAGAGCAAGAAGGTCACTTGTGCTAAGCAGCACAGAAGGATAATTTCAAGGTTTTAAAACTATAGAACAAGCTGGTTTTAAGAAACGACTTGAAATTAAATTTTTGAAAACATTACCATTATTTAAAAATTAAAATAAATTTTTGAAACATTAGAAAAGGTAATTTAAAATTAAGGATTCTGTGATCAAACATTACCTTTCGCACACATTCCCAGTTGTACAATTCTCCAACGCATTTACTCTATGTTTATGTCACATGCAACCTTGTCAAATTTCCACACATTCTGCTTTTTAAAAAGGTGAAGTCAACCTACCAGAAGCCTCTCAGTTTACAGAGACCAGTGAAAGGGTTCATCAGGACATAGTAGGGCCAGCCGTACGCAGCCACTGCAAACTTCATATAATGAGCCGCATTCTCTAATTCAACCTCCAAATCGTTTCCCTGTGAAAAAGACAATTTTTACAACTTTTTTGTGGAGTCATTAAACAAACGCTGCAGTCGTTAAGTGAATGAGACAGTGGTGGGATTCAAATTTTTTTTTACTACCGGTTCTGTGGGCGTGGGGTGGCTTGGTGGGCGTGGCAGGGGAAGGATACTGCAAAAATAACAAGAGATAAAATAATAAAAGAAAATCTAATAAAATAAAATAAAATAATCTAAAAGAAGATCTAAAATAAAATGAATAAAATAATAAAATAAAATGAATAAAATAATAAAAAATGAATAAAATAATAAAATAAAATGAATGAAATAATAATAAAATAAAATAAAAAATAGAAAAACTGTTGGAACTTCAAAACTGGGTCCTAAGTAGGTCAAAAAGAGATCTCTCATAATTTCAAAGGGTCGCCAAGTCACCAGTCATAACTCGAGGACTACTTGGGCTTCAGTCACGCTCAGGCGGCGCGTGCAGCTACAAAACGGCACCGGAGCCAACCTGCCTTGTAACGGGTACGAGACAGAGGTGGTATTCAGCCGGTTCTGACCGGTTCTGGAGAACCGGTAGCAGAAATTTTGAGTAGTTTGGAGAACTAGAAATCCTGCCTCTGACTGACCCCGCCCCCTCTATTCTCCGCCTCCCGAGTCCTAGCTGATTCGCTGGGTCTTCTTTGGTTGCCCTGCACAGGAGAACGGAGCTGGAAAGCAGGTTAGTGGGGTGGGGGAGGGAAGGGGGATTTTGCAGTATCCTTCCCCTGCCACATCCACCAAGCCACGCCCACCAAGCCACACCACGCCCACCAAGTCACGCCCACAGAACCGGTAGTAAAAAAAATTTGAATCCCACCACTGGTGCGAGAGGCTTACTGCAGGAGGCGACGGGGGCTGAATTAAAACTTCGTCGGGGTCTTTTGAATTTTCGACCTTATCTTGCTGCTGGTGGAGGAGAGTCAGGCCTGCTGCTATGTCGCTCGGCACTAAGTCGGTGTCCTGCAAAGAGAGAGAGAGAGACGCAGAGAGGACAAATCCTTCTGGATTTATCCGGAAGACCAGAAAGTCAAGCGGAAAAAGTCAGGGGGTTTGCATAGTTGTGGCCTCCCTGATGCTCAAAAATGCTCAGGGCTAAACATTCTGCCTTTCTTCTTTGCTTTGCCTTGCTTATTTTTACGATTTGATTTCTTTTTCCCGCTAGGCAAATTTTAATTTGCCACAGAGTATTTTTCCAGTGCTGGATTTGTTGTGGTTTGCCGGCAGCAGGTGTGGACGGTTGAGGTCTCGGAGAGCGAGGACTCAGATGAGGGACCTGCGTGGGATGCAGGGATGGGGCCAGGACCATCAGGGAGTAGAGTGCTGCCTTCGGAGATTGTGGAGGCTGGCAGCAGTGAGGAAGAGTTCCCCGAGGAGCCTGTGCCCAGTGTACATGCACGCAGGGCTGCTCGAAGGAAAGAGCAGCTGCAGCAGCACGGGCGACTCGGGAGTAAGGCTGCAAGGGAATGGCCCCTCCCTTAAGAGATAAAAACCAGCTGAGAAACCGGAATCCTTTGCAGGAAGCAAATAAATTTTTGCACTCAAGCCTTGTGGATGTTCGGAGTATCTTGGTTGGTGTTTGGAGACTCTTTATGTTTGAAATATTTCTTGGCAACTTTATCTAGTGTTCTTGGCAAGGCACGTTCTTATCAGAGAATGATACTATTAATCTTCTCATTGTTCCTATCACCCATCACCTCCCACTTGTGACTGTAACTTTGCGCATGTATCCTTACAATTTATATTGACTGTTTCCTAGTATGATTTGATTGCTTATTTGTTCCCTATGACTATCATTAAGCGTTGTACCTGATGATTCTTGACTCTTGATGAATGTATCTTTTCTTTTTATGTTACACTGAGAGCATTTGCACCAAAGACAAATTCCTTGTTTGTCCAATCACACTTGGCCAATAAACTATTCTATTCTATTCTATTCTATTCTATTCTATTCTAATTCTATTCTAATTCTACTCTACTCTATATTCCATTCTATATTCCATTCTATATTCCATTCTATATTCCATTCTATATTCTATTCTATTCTATTCTATTCTATTCTATTCTATTCTATTCTATTCTATTCTACTCTACTCTACTCTACTCTACTCTACTCTATATTCCATTCTATATTCTATAGAATATAGAATATTCTATATTCTATATTCTCCTCTTACCGAGAAGTAGGAACGGAAAAGCTCGGCGATGCTCGTAAAAGCCACGCGGTGATCGTCGTTTTGCACAATGCAACAACACAACAACCGGATTCTCTTCTCCCAGACGCGTGTGGCTCTCTTCTTGATGTTGCAGAACAGCTGCTCGGACTGGCTGCTCTCCAGGTTGCGACTGGCGTAGTCAGCCAGGTAGACCGTCTTCCTCCCAAGAGGGTCAAAGAAAATGAAAACAGCCACCAGCGTGAAGACCATTATCACCCAGCTGAGGTGAAGAACAGAGGAGAAATGCCATAAAAACCTAGGACAGTGGTGGCTAACCTTTTTTGGGCTCCTGGGTCAAAAAACTGCGCGTGCCCTAGCACACATGCACTCGCGTGCCAGCACCCAGAATGCAATGGACGCCCCCCCCTTCCCATGCCCCCTGCGTATGCACCTGCAATCGCCCCCACCGCCACCCCCTTACCCGCACTGCGCCTCACAGCTGATTTTTTTTCGGTCGGTTTGAGGCCTTTTTCGGCCTCCCAGAGGCTCGCAAAAAGCCTCCGCAAGGCTTTTCAGGCCAAATTATAGGCCTGTTTTGTCACTTCCGGTATTACAGGAAAAGGCCTCAAACCAACCGAAACAAATCCGTTGTGAGGCGCGCGCGCGCATGCGCAGTGAAGTTAAGTTTGCCTGCAGCTTGCGTGCCAGCACAAATGGCTCTGTGTGCCGCTTGTGGCCCGCGTGCCATAGGTTCGCCATCACGGACCTAGGAGGCCTCACGGCCTGGAACTCTTGCAGCTCTTAAAGCTTTCCGCCAATGCTCTCTTGCCAAAACATGGCGGCACTTGAAGTAGGAACTCAAGGCCTCATACTCTACGGTGGATGTCTATGGGGTATGTCTAGTGTAATGAAAAGGAGGACTAGGGGTGACGTGGTGGCACCGTTCCAATATCTGAGGGGCTGCCACAAAGAAAGGGGAGTCAAGCTATTCTCCAAAGCACCTGAGGGCAGGACAAGGAGCGATGGATGAAAACTAAACAAGGAGAGAAGCAACCTAGGACTAAGGAGAAATTTCCTGAAATTTAGGATACCATATCCAGACCACCACCACCCCCATCTAATAGCACAACGCGGAACAGCCTCCTCACCTGACAATAACAGTCCCAAAAATGGCATCGATCATAGCTCTTTCACAGTTTACTTGCTTGTCGGCTATCCACACAGTTCCAACCACAACCCAGACCAGCTCTGGGATGTAAAGAGCCAGACGGATGTATAGGAGTTTCGGAAGAGATTTTCGTGGCCCGGGGTTAGCAATGGTTCCTAGAGAAAAAAAAAGTCATTCAACTTACAGACTAGAAAAAAGTAACTTTGTCATTTGTATCCTAACGATTTATATTGACTGTTCCCTCGTATGATTTGATTGCTTATTGTATCCTATGACTATGATTGAGTGTTGCACCTGATGACTCTTGACAAATATATCTTTTCTTTGATGTACAGAGAGCTTATGCACCAAAGACAAATTCCTTGTGTGTCCAATCACACTTGGCCAATAAAGGAATCACAATGGATTTTTTTTAAAATCCATAAGCTAATGAAGTAGACAAACTACCTTGCATGCTGGTGTATGTGATGGATGACAAAGCAGCTATGATGAACGCCAAGAGGATAAGGAGGATGAGAAGGTAGTTATTCAGCAGGCCTCCTCCGCTGCAGTTGAATTGCCCTTTGTGTATGGAATACAAAACCAAAATTCCGATCCACCTGAGGAAAGAAAGAAAGAAAAAGAAAGAAAGAAGGAAGGAAGGAAGGAAGGAGAGAGAAAGGAGAAAGGAAGAAAGAAAAAGGAAGGAAGGAAATAGAAAGAAATAGAAAGAAGGAAGAAAAAGAAAAAAGGAAAGGAGAAAGAAAGAAAAGAAAGGACTTTATCACCCCGAACATTCTCAGCAGAAGTCTTGTCTTCTTAGAAGATGAAGCTACTTTCAACCTAGTTCAACCTAGCGTAGATCCACAAAGGGTTTCACAAAAGCACAATGACTCCTAAGGCCTCCATTGTTGAGGTCTCCACTGTAAGCAGCCACAAAAACAGTCCAAGAAATGAGATCCATCCTGAAAGTGGTTGAGCAAGTCACTCTCCTTTCTATTATGCATAGAGTCTTGGCCAAGTCTGAAGACTGCAATTCAGCGTCCTAAATTCTGGAAGACTACCACTAGGCACACTGGCGACAGTGTTAGGTCATTCTGGATTGTGGCTGGAAATTCTCCCCCTTTTTTTGTTTTCCAGGGAAACATTTAAGGTGGGTATGAAAAAGAGGGGAGAAAAGGCCAACGTTCAACCCCAATTAGGTGCCCATCACAAGATGGATCTCTTTCCAAATTGGAGACTCGAACATCTACGGGAACTGAGCTGCTATGTCTACCTCTGAGAGCAGACATCTTACCACGTCACTCTGATGAACAATTCAAAGGCTCCAGGGAAGACAAAGTCATCACTGCCGATAGCCCAACGCCGGCCAAATAACATCAATCCAGGCATAGTAGAAATCGGGCTGCAATTCTTCTACCGCTGTAGGAGAATAAGGAGACCCAACACCCGGTTATCTCTTTCTCGCCTGTCTCTCCCATGGAAAACAACTTGGGAGCTTATTTACCTAAAAATATTTTTGTGTGTTTATCTCCATAAGTTTTACAGAAGAAATTAAGGATTCCCAAAACAACCACAACAACTAGAAAAGGAAACACATGGTACTCAACTGCTTTGAACCTCATCAAATTTGAGGTGAAAATTTTGTCCTGGAACTCATTGTTTGTTTGGTACTCAACGCACAAGCTAGAACTTGTCGATGTTGGCTGCCTTGTGACTCACTATATTGTTTCTTATGGGAAAATGCTGTTTGGTACTCATCACACCTCCAGGGACCAATGAATGATGGGTACAGAGGTACCACTACAGAGGGAAAAAACCAACAAAAAAACAGCTATCCAAGTTAACAGAAAATTAGATTTGCTTGTAGAAGCTAGAATTAGAAGTTGGGGGTGACTTCTAAGTCCAACCTTCTCTGTGCTAGAAACTCTACAACAAGGGTCTTCAAACTTGGCAAGTTTAAGACTTATGGACTTCAACTCCCAGAGTTCCTGAGCTAACATGACTGGAGGAGGAATTCTGGAATTCCACAAGTCTTAAAGCTGTCAAGTTTGAAGACCCCTGCTGTAGAACTTCTCTAGCAGGTGCCAACCAAGCTTCAAATGATGAAGGATATCTACTATTGTTCTAGACACATCATCTCAGACACAGTTAGCTTGAACTTTTAAACATGCTTGGGCCTTCTCGACCTCCTTCCTGCTCTTCAAGACTAGATGTCCTTCCAAACTTCTTGAGGACACCATGGGCATCAACCAACGAGACTTCCATCTCCTCCTTTCAGCTCGATTGGTTGCACCTTCAAAAGAAGCTTTGGTGAAGTTGTAGACAGAGGTTTAAGGGATCTCTTCTGTTTCTCATGGACACACACATATCTTCTCAAAAATGTTTTGGTGGCACCATAAAAAAGCTGAATATTTATCAGGGCATAACATCAGTTGTCTCCTGCGAGTCCCTTGGACTGCAAGGCGATCCAATCGGTCAGTCCTAGAGGAGATCAACCCCGGCTGCTCTGTAGAAGGCCAGATCCTGAAGATGAAACTCAAAGACTCTGGCCACCTCATGAGAAGGAAGGACTCCCTGGAGAACAGCCCAATGCTGGGAACAATGGAGGGCAAAAGAAGAAGAAGGGGACAGCAGAGAAGGAGGGGGCTGGATGGAGTCCCTGAAGCAGTCGGCGTGAGCTTAAATGGACTCCAGAGGATGGTAGAGGACAGGAAGGCCTGGAGGAATGTTGTCCATGGGGGTCACGATGGGTTGGACACGACTTCGCAACTAACAACAACATCTGTTGGACAGTTGAAGGAGACAGGGCCAAGAGAGGACAGCTTGGTGCCTTCTAAATGTTTTGGACAAAACCCACAGGTCTTTATCCCCACCTAAGCTGGCCAATAGGAGCAAAACATGTAAACACTAATTTACCTGCTACTAATTTATGGGGGATGCATCACTCACTGTCAGGCATGCTGTGTGATGTCACCATGATGCCCACAGAACTTCCCATCACCAATGAAGGTGGGTCACGGGTTTAAAGCTGCTTTAAAACAGCCTTTTGGGGCAAACTTCTGCTTTTTGTCCTCTTTGCAAATTCGTCCTTAGAAGAACAAACTGTCCCCCTTCTTTAACATGGGGACGCTCCCAGAAGCCCCTTCCAAGCTGTTCCCCTACCTTTGCAAGCTTTCCCTTCTCCCCCCCCCCCCCAAACCCCACCCCCCCCCCCCCCCCCCCCCCCCCTACCCTGCCCCCCCCCCCGGCCTCTACCCCGTGCCAATCTCCCCCCCTGGCAACCCAGAGCTTCGCCCACCCAGGCAGGTCCTTCTCCCCCAGTCTAGGCCCTTGCAAAAACCAAGGACCCTTCCCCAATTCATCGGACCTCCCTATTTCCAGCCCACCCACCCAGTCCCGAGCTTGCAACCCACCTGCCCGGCTTTGCACCCTCCGCGCTTCGCTTGCAAAAGCAGACGCGCCTCGCGCCCCGCGGAGTCAGAACGCCGTGACGTCACTCCAGGATCCCCGGGCCGACTGTTTTTTTTCTCTCTCTCACCCTGTTTTGGTGGCCTCGTTCCCGAAGCGGCGCATGCGTAGAGCTCTCCTTTGACCTCTCGGCACCCTGGGTTGGAAGGAAGGCGCATGCGCAGAACGCAGGAAGGCCAAGCCTTTGGAGTCGAAGAGGTAAGTATCACTCAAAGGGAGTTTCAGGCACGCTAACAGTTTCGGTTTCGTTCGGCTATGCTTTGAGGCGCCGGCCGGCTGGGGCTGGGACTCCCCCGCGTTAGGAATACAAGGAGTTGGGAGGGCAGGCTGGGCAGCCTCCTTTTTGCAAAAAGGTGTTTGGACTACAATCCCCATCCGTTCCGGGAAAGGGCAATGCTGAACTGCCCCTCTGTTAAGGTGAGGGGTGGACTCGGTTCCCAGGGAATTGCATTGAGAACCCTGCAGTGTAGGGGGAGTAGCGCTTGATGTGATCCTCTTGGGAACAAAAAGATGCTCTTTAACATGCATCCCAAACTTATGCATGATGACGCTCCTAATTTTAACAGAGCGCCCCCAACGGTAGAGAAGAGTAAGGCATTGGAATTAAAATGAGGACGGTGTTTTGTTAGCTTGGGGTGAGGACTTTGTTAAGGGGTGAGGACTTCCAACTCCCAGAATCCCCAACTGAAGAAGAGTTCAAGAGTTTGAAGTCTAAACTTAACTTTGCAAAGTTTTGGAGGAGGGGTTGGATGATAGGGCATAAGGATTTCCTGGCCAAAACTCCCCATGGAGGGCAGTTATTCCTGTCATTTGGCCAAATATTTTCACTTGTGTAGTTTATCCAAGGGGGAACTCAAGTTTTTCTTAGTTGTGGGGGGGAAATGTGGCTCGAATATAACCCTTCAGAAGGGGGGGGGTGTGAATGGAAATTTAAAAAGTATAATAGCGTTATTCATGTTTACAATTGGAAATAAAATGGGAAATATAAAATTGTTATATATGTGTTTTTGGAATAAATATAAGATTTATTATGTAATAGGGAAAGAATACTATGTGGAACCCGATTGGAGGGGGAAAAGAAATATATGCATATATAATAAATAGAAGATCCTTGTTGTTAATATATAGATATAGCAACTAAAATGGCTTTTTGGACACTAGGTGTTTTTTTTTAAAAAAAATTGTTATATATTAGGTTTAAGGGAATAAAATGGGGAGAACATATAAAATAAAAATAGGTGGCAACATTGAATTGACAATGAAAGGGGATATTGGACAATATATTTTAGGATGATTTTTTTTTTTTCTGGAAATGATGAATGAAATAACATGAAGTGACAAAACGTATTAAAAGAAAAATGGTAGTATGGTATGAAAGTAGATAAAGCTGAAATGTATGATTGTGTATGTATGTTACAATCTGGAATCACATTGTTCACTTAGAGATGTTTAAAGAATAAAAATAAAAAATTTATTGGGAAAAAAGGGGGAGGTGATTAGCTTGGGGGGGCAGGGCGGAATCAGAAATGAAAGTGAGCATCTTCCATACTTTTAAAGCCTCTGAAGTTGTGTCATTGTGTTGTATCTTCCATCTGGGTGGCTTCACAATGTCCTGGTCCAACTTCTAAGAACTGACGCTACAGCAATATATACAACCACAAAACCAAGTTCTAATCAGCTCTGGATCAAAGCATCCCGATCGACACATTTTTATTATTATGCCCATTTCATGCCTGGGCGGGTTTTGCAAATTAAGTTATGCTTTGTGGAAGTGAAGCCGATGGACCGGTTGTATGTCTGTAACATACGAAGGGATATAAACCAGCCTCCAATTCTTAAAAAGAGATGGATTTATATGGGCACTGAACCAAATCTACTCCATCTGGGCTTAGCAGGAGTTTACGGAAATATTTTGTTTGCCATCATTGACTCATAAAGGCAGAAGTTTCTGAAAAGCTACAGCGATATGGGGATACTATCATTCATTAAGAGTCATTGAGGCAGAATTAAACACAAGGATTTTACAAGGTCTGCTTTTTCAATGAATTGCTTCTTTTCCTTACAAAATGAGGTATAGTCCATCCTGGGGAACTCCTTTCCCCAAACCATACATTTCATGAATAAGACACGGCGATAAGAGTTGAGGGGGGGGAAATGTATTTGGAAACAGAAAATTATACATGCACAAAATAAAAAGCAAGGCTTGAACCGAGGGGCTGCCTTTCTCCAGAGTCGAAATAGGTAGTCCTCGACTTATGACCATAATTGGGATCAGAATTCCTGTTGCTAAGCAAGGCGGTTATGCGAGTTGCCCCAGGTTTTACGCCCTTTTTGCCACAGTTAATTGTATGGTTAAGCAAACCCAGCTTCCTCCATTGACTTCGCTTGTCGGAAATCAGCTGGGGAGGTCACAAATGTTGATCATGTCAGGTCGCTGTAGCCATTACAAATGTCGGTTGCCAAGCGCCCAAATTTGGTTCATGTGACCATGAAGATGCAGCAACGGTTTAACTGCAAGAACCAATCAAATACCACTTTCTTCAGTGCCGTGGCAACTGAATGGTTACTAAATGGTCGTAAGTCAAGGACTTCCTGGGGATGAGTGACCCTTTTGCAAAAGCAACTATTCAAATATAAAGATAGATAAATAGATAGATAGCACAGTTATGTTAGCTCAGGGGTCTTGACAGCTTAAAAAGACTTGTGGACTTCAACTCCCAGAATTCCTCCTCCAGTCATTTTAGCTCAGGAATTCTGGGAGTTGAAGTCCACAAGCCTTAAAGCTGTTGAGTTTGAAGACCTTTGATCTATTCTATCTATCTATTCTATCTATCCATTCATCCCTATCTATTCTATCCCATCTTATCTTATCCTATCCTATCTCTCTCTTTCTATCTATCCATCTATTCAACCTCTCTTTCCCTATCTATTCCAGGGGTCTCCAAACTTGGCAGCTTTAAGACTTGTGGACTTCAATTCCCAGAATCCCTCCTCCAGTCATGTCAGCTCAGGAATTCTGGGAGTTGAAGTCCACAAGCCTTCAATTTGCCAAGTTTGGAGACCCTTGCTTTAGCTCTTCGCCCACATCAACCATTGTTTCCTTCATTTTATGAAAGGATTGGGTTGATGGGAGAAAGTGCTGCCAGCATCTTCATTTGAGACCCATGATGCAAATGATCCAAAGGCTTCAATTAGCTGGATGAGAACAATTATTTGCTCTTTTCTTTCTACTCACGAGAGAGACAATCACACCAAATATGCATTTGATAAAAACTTTCTGCTCGGGCCATTTTATGACAGAACTATCTTAAAAATCGCTTCGGTACATTCTAATGCTTCCTTTGCGGCTCTTGTAATTAAAAGTAAAAATACTGCCAATGTTTTTACAATTTCAAAGCTACACCTATTCTGCAGATTAGGAAGAAACAGGAAGCTTTATCGAACATCAAAGATGTAACCGAGCACCGATTGGAACCCTTCCAAGTGACAGCAAATTCACAGAGAGCAACCGCAATTCCCGGGGGGCATCGTTTGAGACCACAACGGAGAACCACTTCATAAAATGTTTATTGAGGATGGTAACACAGGATAAATCATGCAACAGAGTTCAGTTTAAAAAAAAAAAAAGGAAAGCTAGAGAACAGGATTCGGTGCGGCCGATTCAGGAACAAGTCTATAAAAGGAACAATTGATCGTTCAAAAACTGGCACATTCTAAAATTGCTGGAAAAGCTAAACAAAGATGGTTTACTTTGTAAAAGGATTCTGTATTAAAAAAGATGGAGACACTGTTAAAAATTGCCACCTACGGATGACTTCAACTGGACGATGATTGCAGGGGTGGCTGCTGTCAATAGAAAATGGTTTAGAAATACACACACGAACCCTCCAAAAATTGCGGAATAATTTTAGGCTGACCAGGGCACATGCAAACAGGAATGGCTGATGCAAAATCATTATATTAGGAGGGAGGGGACCCCAAATCCTTGTGAAAAAACAGTCTTTAACTCATGTCTTCAGGTGAAGAAAAGTGGAGGGGAGTATTTATCTAATAGATGCTACCTACGGGAGCATCTTTTTATGGAAAGGATAAAAGTAAACCGAGTAATTGAAGGTATTTCTGAAACTGTGACACCCTTTCCCACGAGCATTTTCCGACAACGCTATTTTGGATTTCAGCCTACGCAGGTTTGGAGGGCGAGGAAACGAAAGGAAAATAAATACAGTGGAATGAAATTTGAAATCGACCAGGAAAGGAGGGAGGCAGTTACCATCCGTCAATCAGCCCAGGCCTGCGTGCGCCAAAAATCATTCAGCAATTGACAGGAAATCTTTTGGAAAAAGAAGTGGTTTTGCGCCGATTCCCCAAGGATCCCACAAACCCACCCACCCACCCCCCAAAAAAACCAAAAACTGTGTTTTTTGTTTTGTTTTTGGAACTACTCCGATTTGAAACTACACGCTGAATTAAATCCACACGGTCTTAAGTTTCTCTCGTGTAAAAAATCTTTATACATAGTAATAAAAAGAGAGGAGGGAGGAGGGGTGTGTGGGAAAAAAAGGCAAGATGCATCCAACAGAAGTCATTTGGTTCTCTGGACCTACGAAGCCCCCTCCCCCCCGCGGGAGGCCATCTGTTCAAGCATCTTCCACCTCTCGATGGTCAGGATTGTTCTCTCTACGCATCCAGGATGGAGCATCCTTGGCACTTTTAGGCTGGCAAACTCAGCTTCTTCCCTTTGAGCACTGGGGGGGACAGGAAAGAAAGAAGGAAAAAAACCAAGGTCAGTTCAACACAGATGTCCAAGCTTCCCCCCCACCCCCATCTAAAGGATGGTCACGATTTGCGTAGCACAACGGCAGGAGAAATTCTCTTCCACAGGAAGTCCTTGACGTAGGATGGAAGTTCCCTTGTAGTCTTCAACTGACGACAAATTCTCTTCTATTGCTAACTCTTGACTTATGACAAGGGAATTATTTTCTGTAGGGAGTCCTCAACTGACAACAGAATTCTCTTCTTCAGGTAGTCCTTGACTTATGATGGGAATTCCCTTGTATTCAAATGTTAATTCTTGACTTATGATGGGAGTTCTCTTATAGTCCTTGACT